ACCCTAGAGGTATGAAGAGAGACCACACAGACCAACCCTAGAGGTATGAAGAGAGACCACACGGACCAACCCTAGAGGTATGAAGAGAGACCACACGGACCAACCCTAGAGGTATGAAGAGAGACCACCACCTACTTCCTGCTGTGAAAATGATCAATTAATTCAAACAACTTGTTAATCATCAATATGATTCTGTAAGGCCAAAAATATTCATTGTAAACCTTTACGGAAATTAAGTAATGAGACATTTCATGTACACTAAACCGTCAAATATACAGGCCACATTCTGACCACATTTGACCAGAAGAACTTTGTAAATCAAATTGTTGAATCCTTGGGTAAATCATGTTTTTTAGCTCTTGAATGACAAACGCTAAGAAGGTTCAATACCTGATAAGGTCCAAGGGTTGCGTCTTGTAAATGCTCTTGGGGTGAGCCCACTCATTGTACAGCAGAAACCTCTCACTGGGGCACTGGCCATCATGAGACCTCACGTTGAACCTACACTGCAGATCAAACATCAGATACATACAGTCAGCATTCTTCAAAGAACTAGATCCGACACATCAAGGCTGGGTAAACTGCACATCAGCTTGGAATATTACCTGCTTTTATGAAACGTTGGTTTATGAATGGATTGTGAAGCAGATTTGGTATAAAATTGGATCAGTGATTAGTTGAATATCACTTTTGAAGGATTTTAAAATAATACAAATGTTATTACTTTTAAGCATCCAAATGTATAATTATTTGCTCAGATTCACCTCCAGCAATAGCCGCAGTTCAGTGGTTCCCAAACACCCCCACAACAACATCCAGACATTCCATGTTTTTATTCCATTGCAAAACCAGATAATCTCATTAAACTAAATCAACTAATCTTCAAGCCCATGATTTGTTGACTTGGGTGCGCTTTAGATACATTGTACCAGAGTACGCAAGACTGTGTGTCCTACACACAAACAACAAACTATGCCGTAGGTTCTGGGGAGTCACTCACGTCGTGCAGGGGGTAAGCGGCTTTGTAGACTCCTCTGTCCAGCAGCTTGTTAATGCCAAACTTCCTGATTTCACCCCTCACTTCGAAAGGCGCTCGACACAGGATGTAGCTGGCCTGGGATGACATGTGAGATAACCAAGAGCTGCATTGGCCATCAGTAACAAACTTCCAAGCAGGACAATTTTTTGCAGCACATGCAGTGCTCACAGAACGTTTTGGGACGCTTGCTTAATTCTGCCATAATGTTGTCAATTTACTGATGTTACAACAAAAGACCATTGACAAGCAATGATTAATGTAATCTGCACATATCTTCCACACAGACATTTTCTTCTTATTGTCATAATTCTTTGACTGACTCATTCAGTTCTGTTCTCGCCCTTTTGCTATTAATTGCAATTGTAGTCACTGACTCCCAAAGGGACACTAAACACAAATGTTTGGCATTTTATGTTGTTATACAAAGGTGTGACTAATTAAAAAGCCCCAAATGAGACTGAATGGCAATGAACTTTTTAACTCAGAATAGCTGTTTTAAAACTACAATTTGTTGTTTCAATGAATTAGTACTCAAATTTAATGTTTTACTTTAAAACTTCCAGTTGTTTCTAATGTGAGATATATAGTAAACAAATTAAGTAAGAAGTTTTGTTATAAAACTAATACATTTGCAATATTTTTACTGAATTAAATGTCCCAAGACTTTCTGTGAGCACTGTAGCTGATTGTTTAATATTGTAATTATTTATATGAGGAAATGCTTAGTCCTAAACACATACGGTAGAGTAAGTACCAAATAAGTCTTTAACCCATTTTACAAGTACGAGACCGTTTCAGTCAAACAAGCTCCTGCTGGCTTCTAGGAGAAGGGGATACACAATAAATGTCTAAGATGGTCAGAGTAAATGTCTAAGATGGTCAGAGTAAATGTATAAGATGGTCAGAGTAAATGTATAAGATGGTCAGAGTAAATGTATAAGATGGTCAGAGTAAATGTCTAAGATGGTCAGAGTAAATGTCTAAAATGGTCAGAGTAAATGTCTAAAATGGTCAGAGTAAATGTCTAAGATGGTCAGAGTAAATGTATAAGATGATCTCACCATCCTGCTTCTCATAGCAGGCGTGAAGAACAGCTCCCGGTCCTTGATGAAGAAATAATCTAATCTGTCTTTTGTAAACGGAGCGGTGAAATACTCGATCTCAGTCGGTATGAGGTTCTCGTTGGGACGGAAGAACTTGGTGATGCAGCTGAAGGGTGACGCTGTCTTTGTGAGGTCATTGGGCAGGATGGGCAGATTGATGTGGAGGACCTCGGCGTAGGTGCAGAGCACTTCCCATGGCAGGTGGACTTTCACAAACACCAGCTTCTCATCCAGGACCTGGGTGGGAGACACAGGAGCGGAATCTCAATCTCGGATGCCCTTTGTAAGGAGGACAGCCATAGATCTTGTGCGTAACAGGCTCAGAGCCGCTTGATGAAATGATCTTTTTTAGCAGTTGGCACATGGTGGGAGTGAGGGCTCAGTGCCTCACACCTTGAGTTCGAATCCCGCCCCTGGTTCTGTGTCTGCAGGTTCTCATGTTTGTGTGTAGAACTGGCATCTCTAAATCACCAGTGTGTGTCCCTGCAAAGAGCTGGGGTCTCTTCCCTTTTGCTTCATGGGATTCATGCTCGTCATGACTGAACCTAAACTAGATGTTAGCATGAATATGGGATTCAGATGAAGATCAGCCTTTACTCACCGACCGCGTTGCTTCTAGTTCCAGTCCCATCAATATCAGGGCTGCTTCAAAGTACTCTCTCCGTCTCTGTGGGAAAAGCAGTGCCATCACACTGGGCACTAACTGACCATTTACAAGGCAAACTGCAATCCTGTTTGTTTGCGGCAGTGTGGTTACCGCTGCAGTCCACATCACTGCGGCCAGGCTGCAGAATTTAGATTCTTCTCCACGACCTCTGCTTTCCAGTGGCTGTTTTGTTTTACTGTTATGTCCCTATTCAGGCCACACAAGAACGCAACAAAGAGGCCGTTTCTCCATTACAAAGTTTCTTAGCCTAAAGTCACATGACAAACCACAAAGGTCTCAGCCACCTCTGCCTGGACATCTTATTCTGAATAGGTAGGCAGGTGAAGTGATTAGTGACTGTTGACACACCACAGCACATAGTGTACAACAACAAAGCACGTCCTCTGCATTTAACCCATATGTGACATAGCTGGGGGCAGCTAATTCAGCGCCCGGGGGCAGTACTTTGCTCAGGGTACCTCAGTGGTGCTTTGCTGGTCCGGGATTCAAACCAGCAATCTTTCGGTTACAAATGCCACCACTGCCAAAAAGTCATAAAGGTTACTGCGTCATCATGCAGCCAATGACTGACTGACTTAAGTCTCATTAAAGAGTTTTACCCTGGGCTCTTCTGAGCAGGCAGGTTTTAGACAACATGGTAAAATGGGCCCCGCACAATTCTACTGGATACGCAGCTGGAAGATTAACAGAAGGTGAAAAGGTAAAGAATGCATAAATTAATACACAAATCCAGTCATCTGTTTTAACAAAGATTTACTATTTTTAATTACATGAGCACTGTGCCGTCTGCACCCTGGGCACGCGTCTGATTTTACTGGACAAACAATAGACTTTGCAGCAGAAAGATGGACAGGAACGGATTTAGAGTATTTTCTGCCCCTAGGCAACAGCACCTCAATTGCCCCCTGGTCCACAACTTTCCTTTTTGCATTTGTTGACGTCCGTCTATCTCGATTCGAGCTAGCTAACTAGCATACAAGCTAACTAGCAACACGCTGATTTTCACCGCACGTGACATCATGTCAGGAAGAAAACAGCTGATTGGTGGCTCATGAAATCCAGAAATGCATCCAAGACGGGGAAAACATTACACAGGCTTTTCAGTGAGTGCCATATTCAAAGAGCAATGCTCAATCTAATTCAATAAAATAGGTATTAAATCGCATTAAGTATTAAATAGGTAAGTATTAAATCACATAAACTTGTTAAAAGATATTCATGAAAAGGCTGCCTTGCTGGGTGCCCTCCAATAACATCATGCCACTGCCCTGATGCCCATGTGGTTAATCTGGGCCAGAAGGCGGGTTTCCAAAGCCCATTTTCTTATGGGTTGAGGCCCATTTCCCTCACGGCAGCACATACATACCTGGCTAACTAGCATCAATCTTTGAACCACAAATGCAAATGTGAATGCTTTGCATTTATCTGTCTCCCTGTCATGTTTTGCATTAAAATGACCTAATATTCTCTCATACATTTTCACAACGTGATTGTTACTGCGGGAACCTATGTATATTGTTCATACGCTCAACTCACTGGCCTTGAAAAACCTCCTGGTTACCTTGTCCTGCTTATACGTTGTGTTTACTCTTGTTGCAAGAAGTCTTGTGACATTTTTCTTGTCCACCGATGGCTTCTGGCCCTTCGTTGGGCAACTGGTGGTGAGCTGCACTTCAATCTCCGCAGAAACTCATTTCATGGTCGCCTACATAAGCCCCGTCTTGGGCAACACACACACCTATGGCTGATTGTGTTTCTACCCACCTGCATGAGTCACGAGCTGAGCGTCTCTGCTCGCTGCATGAAAGGTGCTCATTCATTGCCCACTGCAGTTGCCGTAGCGATCCACGCCACTTCCTGTTACCCTCAACGTTTCACATATAGAAATATCCCCTTCCGCTTTACATCCAGCTTCTAAGTTTCAGATCATGAACACAGAACTGATTACTAAATACTGCAATTATATACACTAGTGGCCAAAATTGTGGAAACCCTTCCAATTCTTAAAGAATGCAGTATTCCAGTTACTCCAGTTACCTATTTAATCATCCAGTTGTATGATATTTGTAAACATTCTTTCGTTGTTTATAAACATTACCACCAATACCGTGTAACAATTTTTAAAGCGTAATGCTGTTTCTGCGATTTCGGCCACTACGGTGGCGAGGTTTCTCTGATCTATGGTAGACCCAAGTGAGGGACTCCTTTCATGTTCCTATTACCAAGCACCATGCAAAGATGTATCTTCTCTCACATCACATACAAAGCAGCATACTGGGCTACGTTTACTGAACAATCAGGTCAGCTTAGCATGTCAGCTTACTCTGTACCTACTCCACCTGATGGGGTTTTATATCCTTATTCCAAATCTGTACTCCATGTTGTTACTCTCATGCAGTGCGATTACAGTCCTTACCTTTCGCCTTTGAAAAACGTGCCTCTTCTCAAACTCTTTCTTGTCCTCGTCCTCATACGCCAGCACAAAATCGATCCGCCTCTTTCCATCGTTGAAGAACAAGTAATCGGGCTTGTCGTTAAATTCCACCTGGGGGTAAGAATGTGGGAAGGAAGGGGTCCTCACCTGCTCAAGATCATGCTGCTCTTTAAAAAAATTCAGTACACCCTGAACTGAGTTTTGGGTTCGGAAAGGGTCCAATTCGCCTTGACTAATGAATGAACTGGCACAGTACAGGAACTATGATTGATGAGCCACAAAATGAAGACCCACTTTTCCTCCAGTGACAAGTAAACATGTTAATGACTTCCAGTTTGCTGTCTCTCATTACATAATGATGCAACCCAACCATCTTCCAATACTGCCGTGCTCTTCCATAACGGAGTTATAAATTAAAAAAATAAAACATTTCTGTACTAAGAGCTCATCTGTGCCTGATTTCTCAAAATATGATTCTTGCAACAGTTTCTTGGAGTTGTACGACATTATGTGCAATTTGTACATTACTTTGAAGCCAACAGTAACTTTGGTTTACGTATTCTCCATGTTATTGCGCGAGTTTCCTCTGAGCATTCAGCCCAAACACATGTGGTGCAGAATGTATGTCTCTGATTTTCCCTTACTGAGTGAGTGCATGCCTTGTGATGGACTGCTGTCCTGTCCAAGGTGTGACCTGCCTCATCACCTTAATATGTGAATGTGTGTGATTAACCTTAAACAAACAAAGTGTCAACTCAGTAAATCAAGCCTGTAGACAGGAAGGGGGTAAGGGGCCGGGCTGTCGTGAAAACCACGACCTGATCCCGCTTACTGACTCCTAAAGACCGCCGAGAGAGACAATCGCCAAGCTGCTTTGCGGGGGTTAGATTTGGCTCCAGGCTCATGGTGACCCTGGTATGTAGGTATGGAAGGTGGGGGACATATGAATAATGGCATCATTGTGCAGAGGTGGTGCAGTCACCAAACAATGATTCCTGTTACATGCTTGCTATGTAACAGTCTGTGATGGGGCATGCATATTAATATTTATAAGCTCCCTGCATAACCCCACCCAGAATACTGGGGGGGAGGGTATGTCAGGCCGGGGCTAAGAATTTTTACCTTCTTCTTTTAATTTTGTGATGGATCTTTCAGTTACTCAAATCTAGTGAATAACTGGTGAAAGTGCCAATTGTTGCCATAACAAGTGTCAAGTACTAATTATGTGTGGCTATCAGTGATGATGTGGGGCTGGCTATCAGTGATGATGTGGGGCTGGCTATCAGTGATGATGTGGGGCTGGCTATCAGTGATGATGTGGGGATGGCTCTCTGTACCCACTCACCATCTCTGCCCTGGGCATGGCATCCCCTTCCTCCACGGCTGTGAATGTAGGCAGGAACTCTTCACAGTACACTGTAAAATGTTCACTGCATCAGCATCTACTTTCAGATTAATTAGCAACACACTCTGTGCTGTAGCTCTTTCCGGGTCTTACCTTAAACATAACAGGGTTCCATGTCAAAATCAGAGACCGTACCTCACACACTGCTTTACTGCAAAATGGTACATCACGCACTTCCTTACTGGGAGACTGTATCTCACACACTGCTTCACTGGGATACCGTACCTCACGCACTGCTTTACTGTGAGACCGTACCTCACGCACTTCTTTACTGGGAGACTGCACCTCATGCACTGNGTTCACTGCATCAGCATCTACTTTCAGATTAATTAGCAACACACTCTGTGCTGTAGCTCTTTCCGGGTCTTACCTTAAACATAACAGGGTTCCATTCTTTACTGGGAGACCGTACCTCACGCACTGCTTCACTGGGAGACCGTACCTCACGCACTGCTTCACTGAGATACCGTACCTCACGCACTGCTTCACTGGGATACCGTACCTCACGCACTGCTTTACTGTGAGACCGTACCTCACGCACTTCTTTACTGGGAGACTGCACCTCATGCACTGCTTTACTGGGAGATGGTACCTCATACTCTGCTTTGTTGAGAGACTATACCTCATGCACGGCTTTACTGGGAGACTATGCTTTACACATTATACACACTATAATATCGAGAGGAGAGAGATTAAGCTCTCAGAAACGCTGCTGCAGTGCAGACAAAGTATCAGTGGAAAGCCTCGCTATTTTTTTCCATAAAGCCCACACAAATTAATTGAATTCAGATGTGACAGTGTGTTTTTAAAGGGTTTCCTAGTGACCCACTGGCAAAACACACAAAATTGTACTGTGGAAAAATTAACCAAAGCTAAAAAATTAAAAAATTTTATCACTATCAAATTAAACTCGCTAGTTCCTAAATTTCCTTCGGGATTAATAAAGTATCTATCTATACATCTATCTATCTATCTATCTATCTATCTATCTATCTATCTATCTATCCATCCATTTATCTATCTATCCATCCATTTATCTATCTATCTAGTTAAGGTGTCTTAGCCAAGTTAAGCGTAAACTAATGGCAATGTAAACATGACAAATCTTTCTTTTATTGTTCATATAAGAGTAAACAAAGAAACCACATACTGATAAGGAACAATCTAAAGAATGCTATATTGCTGACCCGGACAGAGTATAGCTATAAAAATAAAACATAATATAGCAAACAATAAATTAGTAAAATAACAATAAATCGTTTACTGATCAAAACTTATTCATTAGGACAAACCGGACGGAAGTTTATTGACGTTATGGTCCCGTCGAAACTGGTTTGACTACATTCCAAAACACTCACAGTAACTTGTATTTAGGTAAGACAAAATAGCTATACCAACTTTAAAGTGTTACTTTCGTGGTTGTCTGAAATTATCTGAACTTCGGTACTGCTCCCCCAAAAACATTTTCGAAGACGAAGGAAAGTGACATACCCACATCCTCCAGGACTGCGGCTCCGCTCGGTCCCCTGTTAACCAGATCCATCTCAAGATCGTCGGGGTCACCATTCATCGCCAAGATTTATTTTAGATTATTGGGAAATTGAACGATTGTGTGTATGTACGCACGCCAAGATGAAAAACGACTATATCTTCGATAGTGAAAGCAACAGGCGGGATGTGGTTGCTTTTAGCTCGAAGAACTGAGATTCTGCCTCCACACCCACTGGGCGCGCTGCACAGTGTATTAACTAGACGTTATTCCCAGAATAGGTAATATGACACTGATTTCCGGACTTTTGCTATGACAAGTAAGTTTCGCACGCATCTTGTTCACTGGGTAGGGCCATTTCTTCTCTAATTTAAGTATACAGGCCAGTTAGAATTATGTGAAATGCTCCGAGATTAGTGATCCACATTATTAGGGTGACCAGATAATCCATGTCAGGGAAGACATTTTGAGCTCCTTCTGGTTTTACAAGCTACTTT